TACTGCTAGTTGTTAAGACTTTTAAGAAGTTGGAGAAGGAAGATAAAAAAAGACAGATTATAATGTCACAATGCTCAATGTTCTTACAGAGATTCAAACTTTTTGTTGAATAAATGCTCCCCAGACTATTGCAACTCCTTGGTTAATTTCTGGAGTTCTAAACAGTTGATTCTGACTATTGCCAATTTTTCACTGGTTTTATAGAGAAGGGGATTTTCAGAGTTCCTCACTCTACATTTTTGTTGACATCCCATCAAATACTTTTAATTTTTAAACCTAGAATACCTTTCTGTATCATGTTTCACTACCCTTTTAAGAGCTGTTCAGATATTACCTCCTGAGGGTGACTTATCTGAGGACCTTGTCTCCTGCAACCGTCATTGCCCTTCAAGTCCATGGAGGCCATAACAAAAAGAGAGGGTGCAAAGAGTATCTGGCTGAATGCTGCAGAGCAAAGGCTCCTGAGGATGGCAACTCCAACCTCAGGGTAGCCTTAATCACTTGATGTGAATAATCAAGATTGAATATGTTTTTTGATACTGTGTTCTGTCCTTAAAAGCACAAACTGGTATTAATCAAAAATGTCATCATTGTGTATAGTGTTTGGTGCACAAGTGCTGGAGTAAAACCCTGTGTGTTCGCCAGCCCCTCGTAAGGACAATAACAGCACAAATGTTGCATGACGAGTAGATGTGAAAGCAATACAAATAAAATCTTTAGCACAGTGTCTAGCATAAGCACTTCATATATAGCTGCTGAGATTTTCATTATCTAGTCAGAGAATCAATATCTAATGAAAGTCCTGTATTGTGCAGTTGAGTAGGGTGGGACTGCAGATATCCACTAGTTCAGTTGTATGCCCAGGGCAATGACTCTCTTAACCTCACGTCTTAATCAAATGGTATCTGGCATATGTTTTAATATTCCCAAAGACACAGAGCTCACCATGTCAAAGGCAGCTCAGGCATTGCTGAATCTCACTATTTAAAAGTTCTCCCTTCTATTATGGTGATGGCACATGGGTGAAGTGGTGGTAGGAAGTCAATGGGGATTACAACTGAGATGAAAAAAACTACAAAATGAAGAATGATGTAATACACACACACACACACATTAATAAATAAAAGTTCTCCTTTTGAAATGGACAAATGCCAGATGATTTCACTCCTATTCATATGTGAACTATAAAGAAACAAAGCAAAGGAACAGATAAAAACAAACCCTTGAAAAATGATTGCAGAACTGAGGGTGCCATAGCAAAACGATTGGGGTAAGTGGGGCCCAATAGAAGGTGGTGGAGAATTGTTAGTGCTTTGGGGATGGGTGTGTTGTGATAACATACATCTGAAGAGGTGTGAACTTATATCCCTAAAGCATACACAGTGTTGTAAACCCTCATTACCTCAAGGAAGTAAAAAAGAAAAAAAAAAGAAAGGTTTTCTTCCTACTGAGTCAAGCTCAATCTCCCATTATTCCCAGAGTTGGCTCACATAAAGCTTTCATATTTTCTGTGGGACGACCATTCCATTGTCTAAAGACACAGACATAACCCTCATTAGTTCTTCCTTCTACTTCTGAGAAAGAAATTGTTACTTTGAACTGCAACGGTGCTTTTTTCACTGCCACAAACTGAGGCTGAAATCAAGAAAGATCTGGAAGGTCAGGTGGAATGAATCCCCTTTGTGGTCATAGATGATTTAATGATCCCTTTTGTACCTCCCTTCCCATGCCAAGTGGCCCACTACCTGTTACACACACACACACACACACACACACACACACATATACACACACAGAGAAGAAGTTCGATTTATTGTTTGCTTTTTGGGAAAGATTATATAGAACATTATTGGGGTGAAATTCTAATTACAGATTCACAAAACTTTGCTTTAAATCCAATTAGCTTTTATTAGACACAAATTACCTCAACCTCATACACAGCAAAGTACCTCAATCAAAGTCTATATAATCCTTTGTTGTTTTTAAATGATTAAAGCTGATATAATACATAATGCAGTTGATATTAAATATCTTGAGAAAGACAGATCAATAGAACTACTCTCACTCTTAAGCGTTAACTGGTTCTTTATAAATGGTCTAAACATACACTGTTCATTTGAAATTTTCTCCTTAAAAGGACTGGTGAACTACCTGCTATTTGTTTACATACACACATCAGAAGTCTTCCAAAATAACATTTAAAATCTGTCTTAATATTGCCTCAGAAATATTAACCTTTAAGGAACATTCCATTCAAATAATAAAAGTTCAGGCCTTGACTCTGTAATGCATATTCAGACTTGTCAAGAGTTTAGTATTTTCCCTCTGACTGGTAAAAGCTTCCAATAATATGCACGGTGTGTCTTTGCTCAACTCAGAGGAAGTCATAAAAAGGAGAAAAAAAAAATGTTTGAAATCACAGTGACCAAAGGATTTGAATTAATAATTACATTAAATAACCATAACTTTTTGTTTAACTATTCACATTCCACACAGTGGAAATTATCCTTTCCTCCAGATTTTTCGCTTACATTTTTAACTTTGAAGAACTACAATAAAAAAAAAAAACTTACGGACTTAAGGAATGTGTTTTTCTTTTAATGCCAAGCACAAAGTGTACATCATGGAATTCATATTTGGTGTATGGCATTATTTTCATAGGAAAGCTCAAGATCACAAATGTCTTGTCATTTAAAAAAATCTACTATAGTAATGAACAAAACCTATCATTACATCATCGGTGACTCCAATACAATACGGAAGAGATATGGCACAGTCAGTAACGATTGGGAACATTCCACACTTGTGCTACTCTTAATAAAGGCACAGAAAAAGAAGCAGGCGTTTCCCTCTTTGGCTCGTGCTGTATTTTTTAGGGCAGTTATGCTGCTGATTATCCCAGTGAAGTTAATTTTGAGGAAATTCTCTTTACTTAAGCCAAATCCGACTTACATGCAAGACTGTGGTACAAGCTACTAAGATTACTGCTGCCAACTTAAGTCATCTCCTTTTAACAAAATTGCATGCTTGTGGCAGAGTTAAAACAACAAGAGAAATCCAGTGTCTGCTAGTTCTGAATGTCATTTTTCCTCTCTAGTGTGGTTTTGCATTTTCAGCTCCTTCCCGTTTCTTTTCCTCTCCCCCACCCTCAAAATTCTGGCTTCGCATTCGTGTGCTTAATTAAATCCATTCTGTGCTTTATTGTTGAAGGATGTGGATGATAGAAAGATTTAGAGCTGGGGCATACACTGTACACAAAAGGCACAGATGATGTGTTTGCGCAAATTCACCTCGTGTAGAATGATCAGTAGTGAGTTTAAAAGTTTTAAAATTAGACCTAACGTTTTGGGTGTTCAAGATAAGTTCTGCCTCAAAGTATGGTTCCTGTTTAGTTGTTAGATGGGAGAGCACTGGACCAAAACAAAATAAAATAAAAGCAGACTCTTTATGGTGCTTTGAACACTGGGGCCTTTTGATGGGCAACTGAAATGCAAGTCTGTGGTGTTTGTTTGCCGAATTACACGACTCGGCTAGTGGGGCAAGAAGAGTATGGGAAGGGCGGTTAAATCTAAAGCTTCAGGTTTGAGGGGGAACAGGTTAGCCAAATGCAAACCACAGTAAGGTTCATCCACCCTACACTTTGGCCATTAGGTAAATCCTAAACAGGTATTATGACTAGCCGGCGTTTAAGCAGGAGACAGTGCCTACTGAGAATTGAATGGTTCCTATGTATGTGAACCCTACTGCAACACACACCTCTCTAAGGCACCCAAATGCTCACATTTATTAGCTGCACTTTCCCAGGAGACCCTCAGAGGCCAAGGAAGAATGGGAGGTCCCCTCCCAGATAGCAAGCTACTCCTTGGTGAAGGCAATCTCCTTTATTTCCTATCTCCTTCTCTCTCCAGCTCAGTTCTCTAACAGTGGTTAGAACAAATGACTCAAAAACATACTTCTAGCTTAACTGGAGCAGGCCCTAAGCTCTCTCCTCTTAGACTGGCCCTATGGCAGGTACACACAGCAGAGACAAGTCTTTATAATACAGGTGTGTGGGTCTCAGAAGCATTACACAGAAATAATGAAATGGGGAAGAGGTGATTATAACCAAGCTAAAGGAAGATCTTGGGCCCTTCTGCTTATGCCATTTTTATTCTGTTGCCATCCTCGCATGTAGCTCAAAGAACTACATCTATCATCCACCTGAGAGGCAAAGCAGAAGGGGGTTTTGGGTTTAGCTCACTTGTTCCGAAAATAGGAATGGTCAGCGTTTAGGGTTTAGGGTTGACGTTTGGATTTGGATTGGTTCTAGCAGATCACAATAACAACCAAAATTAAGGACTTTGGGCCTATCTCATTTCTCTTCTGTTCACTTGAGTTCTGTCAAACACTAAGAAAAAGCTTTTGCCAAAACACAGGTCTCACTATATTTGAGAAGGTCTCCTCTCAAGACTGTTCTCACTACCGAGTTTTGCTGGCCTCACTCTCCACTGCTTCCTTCTTTCATTCCTCTCTCCCTCTTACCCTTCCTCTGCCAACCACCCCCAGTTTAAAGGGTCTTGCCAAATGGGAAACATTGATCTCTGCATTCAAGAGTTCATTTAGAAACCTTGGCAGAAAGGGGAGCAGAACTGAAGAAGGGCCAGTCTGGGGAAGGGAGGGTGGGGACAAGCAGGTACAGGTTGAAATACCTTTGCCAAGTCTACAGTCGCCTCCTGCCCTCACAGTAGCCTCTTCCATCAACACTCACTCTGAAAGGAGATTCTAGCACCCAGGGGGGCGAGAAGACAAAGGCAGAACCAGACCACAACCCTGCTCCTTTGAATGTGCCCAGGTAGTGTGGGCTTTCTGTGCCAGGCAGGGGGAAGTGGGTACCTTTGCATAATAGAAAGTGTGCTCTAGCACACTCATGCACACAAACTACGCACTAGCAGGCTCCTGCAGAAGGCGGTGGTTCTTCTTGCCTCTAGGGTTAAGCCAAGTTAAGAATCGGGTTGCTTTAGGTCTGGCTCTGGGCCTGCCTGGGATTGCATCCCTAGGGCAGACTGGGTATACCTGGCTTAATCCAAATCGATGGATATGCACCGACACTGCTTCACACGAGTGACCCTCTTCTTCTTGGTAGGTGGCTGTAGTTCAGGGCAGTTGAGAGTGACCATCATGGTGGTGAATTTCTTGGGCTTGCAGAAGGAGCAGGACTGAAAGGAGCCTTCCTCCTTCCGGATGTGTCTGGGGATGTAGAAGGAGTTGCACTGACCGTAGCAGAAGCGGTTGATGATAGTGCGGCTGTTGCAGCCCTCCTCGTGGATGGTCTGCTTGAGCGGCTGGGTTTTGCACCAGTCTCGCTTCAGGTATTTGCGCTCTGTCACGTGCAGGGCCTCCTGGCTGGACTCCAGCACCTCCTCCCCTGGCATGGCTGTGCCTCGCCCTTGGCCCCGCCCCCGGTTCCTGGAGCCTGGCTGCTGGGGAGACTGAGTCTGTTCCGAGTCGTTATGCTGAGCTTTGTCTGGCGGGGGGATGGCTCCTTGGGACCCTTTCTTTTTCCCTTCAGCAGCTGGCAGCAGGGTCCCCAAGAGGAGAAGCAGCGCTCCCACTGTATAGGCGGTGCGACTCATGCTGAGGGAGCGAAGAGAGATTGGAGACATGAACCACGGAAGTTACTTAATGAAACAGTAATAACAGCAGCTACCATTTTATCAGCACTTGTTACTTCATGGAAAATATTTCATTTACTGCTCACACTATCGCAATGAACCAGGTTCTGTTATTCCCATTAATCATCCAGACACACACTGCACCCATAAATATGAGTGATATAATGGATATATGTTATTCATTATATATTCATATATAATTCCTGTGTTCCCACAGGAATTTCCTCCTGACTCCAGACACCAACTACATGGGACTTGGACTGATGTCACTTGTTGCCTTTATTCTTGTATCTGACCATATTTGACGTGTCCCTATTGTACCAATACCAGTTTTCCACCTCTCTTGGATGTAAAACTGAAAGCAACTTGAGAACAAACCAAATATATAGCAGTATTGCAAGCAGAATGAATTCCTTTACCTAATAATATGTAACTCTTAAAATTCCCAGACTGCTCACTTATTCTCCTTTTTAAACTGGGCATGAATATTCATTATGTCACTCATGTATGCAGGTGTGGTGTGTGTAAACAATTTAGGAGGTAGAAAAATGGACACAAGAGAACAGGTCCATGTACGTATTTATATCAATAAATGTCACAGACATGTTGAATAAACAATAACACTGAGTTACTGTGGATGAGTTGGGAGCTAGTTATGGGTCAGAAAGAGCAATGGCATAGGACCAACAGCAAGAAAAATAATCAAAGAGGTGGGTAGAGGCAGAGAAGGGGGACACTGACAGGAAAGCCATAATGGAGAGAGGGTGAGAAATGAATTGAGTTCAGAGTGTAAAGCAGAGAAAGGAGGGCTATTCTTGAAGCATATTTTTTAAAAGAGTGCAAGAGAGAAGCACTAGATGACTGAGTTTCTCCTAGGACATACTTCTCAAAACTGGTAGACAACATCTGGGGAGATTGTTAAAATGCAGATCTGAAGCACTGAAGTACTTGCCATTAAGGGGCACAGATGAGGATTATTAAAATAAGGAAAGACTTATTTTCAATGGCAATTTCCAATTCACGGTCTCCCTTCTCAGGCCATAACAAATATCTGACCTAAGTCCTGAAGTTTCCCCTGCCCCGGCTCCATGGTTTTCTGAACCTAATAACACAGCTGTGACTCACCTATTTATTCTACCCTCCCCCGATGCATACACACACCATCCCCACCCCACTCACTTTTGAGCACCCGTGTTATACCTGATAACCACAAAGTGCAACTTAATAGTAACCTTAGCATGGACCTTAAGGAACTACACACCTTGGCACTATTAGCGTGGGCAATTATCATTCAAAGACAAAGGGATTATGAACTCCACAGTTGTCCAGGAACAGACCCTTGGTAAGTAAAGACCATTCAACCCGAAGGATAATCTCAAATGAAGGTAATTAAACATTTAACTTAAAATAGCCTTAAATGGCACCATCTCCAATGTTAACCTAATACTGTGGGGCAAATTCAAATTTGAAGCTGATAATGTGACATTTAGTTCCTGCTCTCACTGCAGACTCCCTGGTTTTTGTCAGTTTATGTTACAATATCCCTGTTCTTTAAACAGAAACTTTTTTGCCCCCAACAACAACAAAAAATTAATTTTGTTGTTTTGTCTTTAAAAAATCACTCATGAGAAAAGTCTAGTTATAAACCAGTGCTGATTTTCTCCAGAGACCAGGATAACTTGAACCATGACTGTTCAGTCTCCTGGGCAAATATATTGTGAATTTGAGAAGCTTTCACAAGTTTCTGCTATTTATTCAATCTGGGTCAGGATCTAAACTAAAATTCGCTCTCGGCCTACTTCCAGAGAGGAGCATACAAGTTATGCCCAGACCTAGTCTCCCATATCCTCCAGCTCTTTTAGAAATGGACTCTAGGAAAGATTCAGACCTCTGGGAGCCTCAGAGCCCAGCGCAGGGGTCCACCTGGGACTGACTGGGGATGTACATTGATTGCAGGGTCACCTCATAAGACTAGCCCCCACTCCCACCCAGACAGTCCAGCCCTTTCACCCAGCCAACTTAGGACCCTCTGTATATCAATTCTTTTTTCCTGGCATTTCCACATCTATCATCAAACAAGTACAACATCTGACAGCCATGAGGACTTATTCGTGAGTGCCTGACAGAGAAGCAGCTAACTGGTAAGGAAGTGATTGTTGTGGAGCACATTGACTTAGAGAGTTCCTTTACACTTTCAGTTGCCTTCACATGTGCTGTGGAGAGGTACACCCCATTCTTCATAATCCTTTAGATTTCTGACCTTCCCAACCTCGGGAACTTCTTAATGTCCACTTTTTAACCTGATCCCCTGTGGCATGCTCTGAGTTTTACTTTGTAATTCAAGTCATTGTATTCACTAAGCAGAAACCATCATAAAGCAGTAAATTCAAAATGAGTCAATTGTGGTTTTCAGTTTTAATTTGGACAGATTTCCCATTCCTATGGGTGCGTGCATACCTCATAAACCGAAGCGGTCTAGAGTGACAGGCTGGTTTGTTTGTTGGTTGGTTGGTTGGTTTAAGAATACTTAATTTTTCCCAAAATAAGGTTTATTAGATGTGAAAAATATTATGCACTGTTTTTTTCACTTTTTAAGGAAAAGACTACTAACCTTTAATGATCTTCAGTGCTTATTGCAAAGCTTTTGAATTCTTAAACTTTATAAATAATTATTTGGAGACAAGTGAAAAACCAGCTTCAGGAATCTCAGTCAACAAAGGCCTCAGCTTCTCAAGAGTAGCAACACTCTGAGGCGGACTGCATATTCAACATGAGTAAAAGTGAGGGGGACTAAACTATAATTAGAACTGAAACTAGGGGCTCTGTCAAGTCATTGTGGTCACCCAACATCCACCCTTCCCCCTGCCCCACACACACACCAAGCTGATCTTGATTATTCAGTGAAGGAATAAAACTGCCTTGTTCTTGAAATCCCAATTGCACTGTCATTAAATAGTTGCACTCTGTAAATATGGAGACCTGGAGGAGATCAAGAAGATATAAATTCCTTAAGGAAAAAATTTTCCATATCAGCACCTAGCAAATTGTCCCATAATCAAAGCACAATTCAAATCTAACCCAGATTTAGGTCCCTGTGAATTATTGCTCACATCCAACATAGGAATGCAATATCTTGTGATAATTTCCATTCATGAAATGACCCACCCATAAAATGACCCACTCACATCATTTAATTAAAGCTTGGGTCTCTTGGACCCAAGTCCATAATGCCACCCATAAAGACCTTTTTTTGTTTTATCTTTTTCAGTTTTCTTCTTGCCAAATTTTGCCTTAAGTTCCACTTAATACATTGCTGTTTCAGTAAATACCGTTATCATATTTTTATGTTATTTTATCTGCAATATACCCTACCAACAAGACCTACCTTACCCTGGTTGTTGTTTTTTTTATTTTTTAAAACACTATCTTCTCCCTCATTGTACCTGTCAACAGGCAAAAACTTGGCAAGCAGTTCTATTTTACCTGATGCTTTCTTCTACTTTTCCCTTATTGATCAACAACAAATTTTTGTGCCCATGAGAACCCATACCAGCCACCTCTCTCTTGTGCAGGTCATGGCAATTTATTCCAATCTTCACAAAGGCTCTAAGAAATAAAAATGTTGTATGTGACCTGTTTCTAATGTTCTTAATGTCTTTGGAAAAATTGAGACAGTCTTTTGGGGTAGTCTTCTTGCCTATTTCTCACTGTAACCACCCAACCTGCTCACAATCAGTTAAATGGTGTGTTAAGTGGGAGTTACAGTGAAGAAGCAGTGGTCAGCAAGCCAGATGTCTCTGCCTGGTAACGTCTGGTCAACCCTTCCTGCTAAATCAAGTGTTAGAAAGATAGTCAACAGACATGATCCAATTACTCACCCAGAATAAAAATAGTATAACAATAACAGTAAGGTAATTGACAGCAAAAGCCCTAAGTTCAGGCCAAGATTATTGTTCATTTACTAAAGAACAACAAAGAAGTCAACTTACAGAAATTAAGTAAGGAATTTTTTCTTAAGAATAGACTGAGTTGGGGCCCTCCGTGGTGGCGCAGCAAGTTAAAGCACATCACTAAGAAGCTAAAGCCACTTCAGCATGAGTTCCATCCCTGCCTGCCCGGGAGGTGACCACATGGCACGGTGGACCTCTTCTGACACACCCACTACTCCCCTCAGCAGTGTACTTCATCCATCTGCCTGTTCTGCTCCCCACTCTGTCTCTGGTGAATCATCTCACTGCCCCTGTACCTCAGTTCTATTTGAATAAAGAAATAAATCTTAAAAAAAAATAGCCTGAGTTGAATTTTTTTTAAAAAACAAGTTCCACCAAAAAAATTAAGAAGAGTGGTTGGCAAACTATATGTTGCTTGTACACTAATCACAACCTCCCTAAGCTGAAGACAGTTCAAGCTGAATCATGCTGGGCCCAACATCACATAGAACAGAAAGAAGATCATCTGGAAGTTACCATCCCAGAAGCTCTATGCTCAACATAAGAGTTTTTGGTGATGTTAATGGTGGCATATAATTCTAGTGGTTGAGAGAAATGATTTAGAAAGTAATAACTATCAAATGTCCACTAAGTAGCATGCTTGAGAGATAGCCAGGTTACAGGTTCTGTACTACAATGAAAGATGTGTGCTAGTCTTTGTGTCAATGAAATATGGGATTAAAATTCTGGACCACCCTGTGATATATACAAGTGCCATTTTTAACTGTCCTTCCTAATACTGCCACTAATAATATGAGTGGAATTTTTTTTGAGCCTTTACCATACCAAACATTATGCTAAGTTCTGACTACATTTTATATATTTATTTCACAATGAATTATGAAGTAGATGTTCCCCTGTGGCAGAACCAAAGTCGCGGCCAGGTCTATTGAACTGTCTTAGCCACAGTTCACGCACACACAGCGCAGAAGTTAACAAGGGACACATGGACTTGTTTCTAATGAAATAAAGTTTGAAGAATATTGTAACTCAAGTAATTATCTATTTTGTATCTTCGTCTTCACATGTGAAGGAAAATACTTCTTGTCCGAGGAAATACTATTGTACTTTGCATTTCTAAGAGCATGTGTTCAAACTAAACACAATTCCTTGCAGATGTAAGACATGGGCTGGTAACACTTGCCTAATCTGTGCCTTTCAGTTGGATACTTCAGTCACCTCCCCCCTCCTCTTTTTCCTTTACATAAAAGGTTTAGGTTTTCACCATTGTTCTTTACTCTCTCTTCTAGGACATGCTCCACAACTTTACTGTCAACAAACATTTCCTAGGAGAGGGGTTTGTGGCATAAAACTTTCTGGCATTTTATCAGTTTTAATACTTAAGCATTAGACTGAGGACTTCAGTCTAGAAGACAGGACAGGCAACGCTCAGAGATGAGAGACATAAATGGTTTCTATTCTTCCCTCCATGTTACCACTCCTATTAATGATACATTAGCCAACTTGGGTCTCCTATAGACTGTAGTTTACAAAAACATCACATCAAATGTTTAAGAAACTAAGAAACCTGTAAAACTACAACGTTTACATCATGTTAATTCTACAATGACTGAGGGTTAAACACACATACACACGCACGCACAAACTCACTAGTAGCAATAGCTCTAAAGAACCCTTAAATAATTAGTTAATACTAAGAAGTGGACAATGCCATTTATCCAGTGATAGTAATCAGATTATATACTGCTGCATACTTGGGTATGCCAAGAGGGAGATGAAAATCTGTAACTTCCCTTCAATTTCCACATACCAACCCCCTTCCAAAAGAAGAAGGGGAGGGCTACTGCAAAGCCCTGGGGTGAAAGAAGACTCCTCACTCAGGGACAGGGGTTATCTTAACCTCTTCTTTGCTATTTATTTAACTTGTGTGTATAGCCAGAAGGAAACCACTACTCTCGGGTCCCTGGGACGGCTTAAAACCCTGGTGACCCACTTAACACAGTAGATTGTTTTAATCAACTCGTGTCCTGGCACCATCTCGAAAGAGGAACATAAACAGAGAGGCACATCGCTGGCATCTGTTCTTTTCCGCAGGAGATCTAATTACCTACTGATGGTCGCCTCTCTCCCTTGTACCACTTAAGAGATCATAACCCCCTAACATTCAGGCCCTTTCTCTGTCCTTAAGAGCTGGGATTCCTAGTAGGTTTGGGGAAGGCAAGGGGCAGCTGGGTTCGACTGACGAGTCCAGCCCGGCCAATTCTGGGTGCGCGAGAAGGACTTCACTGCAGAGGCTGACCACCTTCTGTCTGTGCCCACCCCCACTCTCCCGGGAACCTTTGCTTAACCCCTGCAGGGTGAAACGCCAGGCTCAGGCGCCCACAAGGCAGAGCTGAGGACAATGCCAAATGAGAGTGGGGATGCTTCTGTTCTTCCTAAATCGGAAGCCTACAAATAACTCCCGCGGTGAGATGACAGCCCCGACACCGACACTCTCTTGCTCCGCAAACTGCTGAGGGGTCCGCAGGGTGAGCAAGGCGGCAGATGAGGAAGAGCGACGGCCTGGGCGCCCAAGCCGGGGGCCTGCCCCTTGTCACCAATCCCGCGTCATCCGTCGCTAGTGAAGCGCGGTGAGCCGAGACCAAGGACTCTGGGACGCAGAGTAAGCGGTACCCGCGGAAGTGCCTCAGGCTAGGCTATAGCCGCCTGGCGCCTGAACGTCAGCTGAACAGCCCAGCGCATGCCGGGCGGCGAGAAGCCTGGAAGAGGGAACCCGGCGCCAGGAATACTCAGCCAGCACGTGGGTGCGGGATGTATTTGTGGTGTGAGCACGGCAGGCTCTCTGGCATTGCAGTGGGAGACAGCACAACCTCACTTCAGTTGTATGGTTACGCGACCCTTAGGTTTCTGCAGTGGCCAAACCCGGCGGCTCCACTTGAGCCCGAGTCTCCGTTTCACCTAGGGAACGGGTAAACGGGCCTATCGTGGATCTCGGTATCCACTAGCCCGTGGTGGCATCGCTCACGACAAATCGACGTGCGCCCCCAGAAGTCCCCGGGCCCAATGCCAATGCCCCAAACCGAGCATGCTGCCGGCGTAACTTGCTGCGCGGTCTGTGGCCGATTCCTAGGTCCCCACTGCTCCCCGCTGCTCCAACTCTATCCCTCTGCTCCCGTGCTCGAGTCGCCTGAAATTCGCGCTCGTGCTATATGGGCAGGTCTGGTAAGGCTGCGTTGCCACGCGCGCCAAAGGCACATTAGCCAGGCCCTCGGAAGTGGCAGTGGGATGCCCGGCTATCGAGCTCGCTGTTGACAGGCATCCTCTTTCCCAACCTTTCGGGCAGACCGCACTAGTGAGGTCCCAGCAGCCAGGACCTCGGCAGCTTACAGCCCCGCAAAGGTTCTTCCTGGTTGACCCTACAAAACCTCACGACCTCGACTTGCGCTCTTGTTGGGCCGCAACCAGTCTGCACCGCACGGAACTTTGGAGCGTACACAGTCCCCCTAAACACGCGCGCAAACTCACACACACGCACACACACTCACGCCCCGTCCGCACTCACCTGTCACTGAGGCGGGTCTTCGGGACCTGCGCTCTCGACGCGTGGCGCTGTGTGCGGCCGCGGCCCGAGCCGCCGGGGCTCGGCGCGGGGTCAGCTGGGCAGAGAGTAAGGCTCTAGCTGCACACTGGGTCGCCCGGTCCGCGGAGGGCACACCGAGTGCGGGGCATCGCGCCGTCTCCCGTTTAAATGCCGGCAGCGGAGCGCGGCGCCCGGGGCCGTGCCTCTCCATTGGCCAGGCGCCGCCGCCGCTGCCGGACCCGCTATCCGCCCCCTTTCCCGGTACTGCCCCCGCCCCCCGCACCCCTCCTGCCTCCCCGCGGGGTCCCCTCTCCGCCTGCCTCGCCTCTTTGTCTGCTCCCCCCGCCCAGGCCGGCTGGGAGAGGTCACCCCAGGGAACCGCGCCTGGAATGCACAGCAAATCACATTTTCCGCTCCCGTTGGAGGGGGAAGCGCGGGAGGAAATCCCCCAGGCTCCTGGCCCCTCATTCCTCCTCCGCCCCAGGCCTGGGCTTTTCCTTTCGCCAGCTCCGCTTTGCCTGCGTCGGTCCCGCGATGTGCTGGGTAGTGGACAGTGCCCTAGGAAGAGCAAGATTTCTGTGGGATCACGGCAGATGAGGCGGTTCTTTCCCTCCGAGGGAGCGGGACTGCGGCGCTCCTGGGGGGGGTTGGGGGGGCGATCGCCGCGGCTCCAGCGCCGCTCCGCCGGAGGGCCCCGACTTCGAGGGCGCTGACCTCGGCGCCCAGGTTTACCTAGGCGGGCTCACGGCCGCGAGCAGAAGCCTGTTGCCAATATGACATTCTCCTCTGCTCACCCGCCACGAGTTCTTTCGGCTCAGATGTTGGCGGCCTCGGCTGGGAGTGTGCAGACAGAAGTATGGGGTAGAGTCCGCCTACAAGGACCCTCACAAATCAAGGTTTCCATTTCTAAACCATCTTTTGAAAAGAGAGAGCGCTATCGCTAGCCGGGAAGAAGTTTTGTGTTGCACGTTAAAGATGAATAAATCAGGAAAAACAAAGCGTCAGGAAATAGCTTCCCCGAAATTTAAGACGAAAACTTAACGTATGTGAAAAACGGATGTCACATTCTGTATTCATTACTAAGAACCCAATGAATAGTGGCGAACAGACCGAGCGCATAAGTATTTTTTGAAAGATGAGCGAACACTTTCATTTGTTCTTCAGCTTGAAAATTGGTTTCTCAAAAAGGCCGTATGTTCTGCGCGTGGAAGTTACAGCCCGTGCAAAAATCAACCCGGCTGCAAGGTCAGCAGATGGCTCCTCAGCCAGGTCAGATGACGACTCTGTTGTAGGAGGAAGTTGGAAGGTGTCTGCAACGACTGAAACAAAATAAACAAAACGATGAAACCCATCAAAGGTACTTCTGAAACATCTGTGATTTAAGTCCTTGGCGAGGAAAAACAAAAGTAAAAAAGCGACATGATTTTTTTTTTTTTCCTCTTTAGGCAGGCAGTAGGAGGTGGGGGCAAAAACAGTGAACACCTACTAGATACTGTTAGGAAGTTGAATTAGAGTTTTTTAAATAAATGCAACTAGGGAGAAGTCGGCATGAAATCGATATTTAGAGAATCTCATCATGTGCACGTTTGTTTGTGCAAACCCATGAATTGGAGGTTGTGCCTTACATATTTTGTCAATAATGTTTTTTCAGATCCCCCCGTGAGCCATCTTATAGCTGCCTGCAGGATTCCAACTTCAAGAGGCTTGAAAAGTCATCCGAATTTAGTGAGCTGAGGGAGAAATAGGTAGTCAAAAGTAATCCCAAAACATTTAAGGCAATTAACAGTCCAGCCCAAACCCACCACCAAACTGTAGAAGCCAGCTGTTCTCTAAAGTGTAAACTATTCCCCTGGAGAAAAAGAGAGTGTTTTCTAAAAACCCATTAACTTCTGTCATCTAAAATCAGTGCTTTAGTCATCTTTCTCCCCAAGACTGATGAACCGATCCAAATGAAAATACAAGGTGACAGAGCTCTTACCTCCTGGGTTGGAAGTAGTTTTGTGGAGTCCTGACATTGTGATTTTATATATCTTAATTTCTATGTCTTTGTATCTTTATCTAGTAAATGTCAGTAGATGGTCACTATGTTCCCACTTCTGGAGCTTTGTCAGATAAACCTCTCTAGAGTAGAAGCAATCCTACCCCACCTGACTCTTTGTCCCATTTCTCTGCATCAGTTTTTTTTATTGTCACTTCTTTCCCTTGGCCATTAGGTTGCAAGCTTCATGCGAATGGGGATTTTGTCTTGATGACTTTTGATCACAAAGGACATAGAATATAAAGTATCTAATGCAGAATTGGGATTCAATAAATAAATACTTGCGAATAAGGAATGCCCAGGACATATGCCCTAACTAGGATTATCAGCTGAGCCAAACCTGGAGCCTGAGGCTGCATGAATAGAACAAGCACAGGCCCTCACCTCACAGAGTTTACAGTCAAGTGTGTTTGTAAATATTTATCTAGATATCTAAACTTTTCTCCTCATATTTGTGTTTGCACAGCTCTTCACCAGTCATTGCAAACCATTATCCAATCAGGATGAAGGATAAGAGTAAAAACTCTACAGACCACTTTAACCATAATTACATAATTGAAACCTGCTCTCAGCAAGAGGGGAAAGAAATAGAACGACTCCATGTAGCTTTAAAGTTAACGTCTAAAATCTGAGCTGCCTAATCAATGATTGCTAAGTGATAAATGTCACTTAAGGAAATGACTTTGAAATGATGTGGAGACTGTTGTGAAAGTGTAGACCCTTTTCAGCTACTGGTCTGTAAAAGAGAAGTTCACTTCTGCCGGTTTGCTTCCCTGTGTTTGCTTTGCTTTCCTATCTATAGACTGCGTTTTTCTCTGCTTGACTCCCGAGATGCTAAGAAGAAACTACTCTCCAAATCTAAGTAGGAACTTTAAAGGCCCTTGAGGCAAGTTTTTACTTAGATCTGTTTATGGTTGTTTGCCTAACTACAGAGACCATCTATGTCACTTGCATCAAATTGAGGATAAAGCCCTATACCCATGTGGGACTGACCTTGAACACCCTTCATAAAGAAAAAAAATGCCATAAACAATGAACTTAAGAAAATTTTTGAAAGGTGTTTGTAGAGGTTAAATGATTCATACTAAGAATTTCGGATTCAAATGACTCCTTTGATTCATAGCCTGATTATAATTGACAAAAACTGCAAAGATTAAACAGGTGAGTCTAGCAAAAAGCAGTGGCCTAGTGTTTTGCCTAGTGTTTCTCGTTCCTCTGAACACCAGCCCTTAAATGTGATTTAAAATGGAAATGATTAAACAAGAATAATAATGGGAATCAAATTTGTGTGACCTTCAAAGAGGAAACTACACACTGAGGAAAAATGCTCTCACCTTAGCAGCTATACTTCAGTGTTTCATTACATGACATGAAAGTTTGCATAGTATAGTTTTTTATCCTACATTTGGAAGAAAACAAATGTATTTATAAATACTAGAAAGAAAAATTAATTGACCACTAATGAGGAAGCTATTAAGTCAAGAAGAAAAATCTCCTCAAATAACCTAGCAGGACAAAAGTTAGCCTGAATGTTTTCCACAAAAAGAAACCTAAACAATCAATAAACACAAAAAGATGATAGATTATGCTAAATTGGGGAAATACAAATTGTAGTAAGAAGATACTCTTATTTATGTAGCAGATTGGCAAATATTTTAAATCCACCAAGAACAACATTGAAAATTTTAGAAGCAGTTACTAATATGCCTTGCTGGTGAGAGTGCAAACTGGCCTGAACATATCTGAGAGTAATTTGTCAACATATGATAAAACTGAATGTGCACTTAGTGTAGCACCCAGCAGTCCTCTTCTGGGTGAACATTTGAATACTTGACACTTAGTGAGCATAGGGTTGTTCATAGCAACCTCAGTGTCTGTCAATAGTAGAAGTTATAAGAAGTATTTTATTCATAAAACAAGATGCTGTACAACTCCTTAAAAGAATCAGACTGAGTTTTTACATTTCAACATACAACTCAAAAGCAGCTGTGTTTTAGAAAAGATTTGCAAAGATACAGGCAGTATGACATAATTATATATTTGTTCTGATAAACATAAAACAATAGCATAAAATATTTATGAAAATATCTGTGTTCACCTAGCTGTTTAAACTGTAGATTGGAATTCAGACCTTTGTTTGATACCCACCAGAATGAAGTTAGGAGCGAGGACTGGGTTGGGAATGGAAGACAAAAGAGATCTCAATTTCACTTTAAAAATCTTGACAAATATGGCAAAATGCTGAGTATTTTATTTTCTGGGATTGGGTACATAGGTATTTGTTAGAGTATTCCCTTTAGATTTTGGTAATGTTAAAAATTTCTCAAAATTAAAATAATCTCTCTATCCCAATTTCAGGAGTGATGTTGATATGATTAACATCAGATTTTTTCCCTCACGTGTGTCCTCTATAACCAGCTCCGAGCTAAGCATACTTTCAGGATACATCCCAGCCTTTATTGATGTTTATGTGTTCTGCTGCTATGTCTGAGGGTCTAACTCCTGCTATCAACTTTGCTATCTACACATAAGCAGTAAAACATTCACCAGTTTCCTGTATATGAGAAATGCATGTGCATGTGAAAATTTTGAATATTATTGCCAACTATAAGCATATGAAAAGATGAATCATGCAGACTTTTAAAATACCACTCCCAAAAACAGTGCAATAGACAAAGTGAAAACATCAAACTATGAACAGGTCCCTCACAGTCAATACACAGGTAAAGTGGGGGAAGCACTGGACTTGAGTCTGACTGCTCGTAGGAACTGAGTGCCCTAACTTACATTGCCAAGCCTTGTAAGCCAAATCAATCATGTGTTACAGGAATGCTAATAACTCCTATCTCTGGGTAGATGATGAAATTAAATAAATAAGCTGCATGAAAGCTGCCAGACACCTAATAAACAGTGTGGGCATGTACAATGAGGAACTAAACAAAGATAATGAATATATAATATTAACAAGGGTTGTATCATCTGTGTCTTATGTTTCACAGTGGTTGATAAAACTACCAAATGAGCTGCATAGGGGAAGGGAAAAAGAAAGGAAGGAAGGAAGAATAAAAGGGAAGGGAAATGTAAGGAAAGACAAGAAAAACA